TATTTATTTTGGCTGTGTTGGGTCTTTGTTGCTGCGCACAGGCTTTCTCTAGTTGTGGTGAGTGAGGGCTGCTCTTCATTGTGGTGTGCAGTCTTCTCATTACAGTGGCTTCTCTTATTGCAGAGCATGGGCTCTAGGTGCACGGGCTTCAGTTGTTGCAGCACACAGGCCCTAGAGAGTGTGGGCTTCAGTAATTGCAGTGCATGGGCTCAGTAGTTGTGGCTTGCAGGCTCTAGAGTGCAGGCTCAGTAGTTGTGGCTCGCAGGCTCTAGAGTGCAGGCTCAGTAGTTGTGGCTCACAGGCTTAGTTGCTCCGTGGCACGTTGGATCTTCCTGGACCAGGGATCGAACCTGTGTCCCCTGCATTGGCAGGCAGATTCTTAACCACTGCACCACCATGGAAGTCCCTGTTCAATATTTAATTTAGTGACAATTTACTGTAATTATAGATGTCACTATACACAAAGCTCATTTTTATTATGAATTATTTCTTTAGTTTTGGTTAACAGAACTGGAATTCCTGCATGAAAAGTAAAATATTTCTAAGCCAATGTATATGTATTTCCATATAGTTTCTATATGAATATGTGAAAGCACAACTTATGAGTGAAGTTTCTCTGCTTTTATATATTCCATTAAAGATAATAATAGAAATAAATAAAATTTAAAAAAAGAGAAGAAACTATAGGAGGATAAAGAGCAGATGTGAGAAAAGCTAGTTATGAGATTAACAATAATCCAGAAGACTGGATGTTACTGGCAGGGACCAGGGTGGTGGCAGTGGAGACAAAGGAGAGCTGACAGGATTTGCTGATAGACTGGATATGAGATTAAAGAGAAAGAAAGAAGTTGAGGATGACTCCCAGGTTTCTGCCTAAGTGAACAGAAGGATGGAAGTACTTTTTTGAGATGAGAAAGCCTCAAAGAACAGGTGTGTCTATGTATATCTGAGACGGTAGAGGAATCAGGAATTTGGTTTAGGATATGTCAAATTTAGGAAGTCTAATAGAAATCTAAGTGATGATGTGAAATACATAGATAGTATAAATGTCAAGCCAGAGATCCAAACTAGAGAGAGAAATCTGGGACTGAGTGGGGTATTGAGAGCATTTATGGCCCCGAGACTGGATAAGATCACTCAGGGAAGGGTGTGATGACAGACAGGAGAGCTGAGGACTCAGCCCTGGGCTCTCCAACACTAAGGGGCTGGAGAGGAAGGAATCAGGCAAAGAAGACTGAGAACAAATAAGACAGAAAAGTAAGAAAAAAAACATAAGATGCTGCTTCCCAGAAAGCCCACTGAAGAAAGAATTCAAGAAGGAAAAAAGTCAATGCTGCTGACAGATCAAGAAGGAGAACACTAGGGCTTCCCTGGTGGCGCAGCGGTTGGGAGTCTGCCTGCCGATGCAGGGGACGCCGGTTCGTGCCCCGGTCCGGGAAGATCCCACGTGCCGCGGAGCGGCTGGGCCCGTGAGCCACGGCTGCTGAGCCTGCACGTCCGGAGCCTGTGCTCCGCAAAGGGAGAGGCCACAACAGTGAGAGGCCTGCGGACCGCACAAAAAAAAAAAAAAAAAAAAAAAAAAAAAGAAGGAGAACACTTAAGAAGTGACTACTGGATTTAACAATGTGGAGGTCATGACTTTGACAAGAGCTATTTCCATGGAGTGATGGAGATAGAAGCCAGGTTGGAGGGTTTTAGGAGGAACTGGGAGGAGACGAACTGGGGACAACAGGTGTAGATGACTCTTCTGAGGGTTTTCTGTAGAAGAGAACAGAGGAATGAGTCTGTAACTAGATGGGGATTTGGGGTCTAGGGTGGGCATTTTGTTAAGATGGGAGCTATTAAAGCATGTTTGTATGATCATGAGAATGACTAGTAGAGGTGGGATCAATGATGCAGGAGATTACTAGAAGTGACAACCTTCAGTAGGTGAAAGCAGACAGGAAGAGAAGGATAGGCAGGGATGGGTCTCCCATGGAAACAGGAGGGAAGGAAGCTGATGGATGTGAAGTGTGAGTGTGTGCTCATTCTCTTTTGAGTGCTTCTGTTTTCTTGATTAAATAGGAAACTAAGATTATCAGCTGAGAGAGAGGTTGAAGGAGGTAATGGGGATTTGCAAAGAGAGAAGAAGATACTACAAAGTCATCCAAGAGGGCAGGAGGATGAACATGCTAGGAAAATAGTGTGTGATGGATGGGCAGAAAGGAGGCTCAACTTGAGGTAGGAGGTCATGAATTTAATGGATCTTGTCATGAGGATGTGGAGAAAAGGGAACCCTCATACACTGTTGATGGGAATGTAAATTGGTGCAGCCACTGTGGAAAACAGTATGGAGTTTTCTCAGAAAACTAAAAGGAGAACTACCACATGACTCAGAAATTCCACTCCTGGGTACCTATCTGAAAAAAACAAAATCACTAATTAAAAAAGATACATGCACCCCAATATTCATAGCAGCATTACTTACAATTACTAAGATATGGAAACAACCTAAGTGTCCATCAACAGATGAATGGATAAAGAAGATGGGGTATAAACACACACACACACGCGCGCGCGCACGCGCACGCGCACAGTGGAATACTGCTTAGCCATAAACAAGAATGAAATTTTGCCATTTGCAACAACAGGGATGGACTTGGAAGGGATTATGCTAAGTTAAAGAAGACAGACCACTTACATGTAGAATCTAAAAAATAAACTAGGGACTTCCCTAGTGGTCCAGTGGTTAAGAATCCGCCTTCCAATGCAGGGGACGCAGGTTCGATCCCTGGACGGGGAACTAAGACGCCACAGGGCAACTAAGCCCATGCGCCACAACTACTGAGCTTGCGCACCTTAACTAGAGAGCCCACATACCACAAACTACAGAGCCCATGCGCTCTGGAGCCTGCGCGCCACAACTAGAGAGAAGCTCATACACCACAACTAGAGAGAAACCCACAGGCCGCAACTAGAGAGAAGCCCAAGCACCGCAACGAAGAGCCCAAGCACTGCAACGAAGAGCCCAAGTGCTGCAACGAAAGATCCCACATGTCTCAACGAAGATCCTGTGTGCTGCAACTAAGACCCAACACAGCCAAAAATGTTTTTAAATAAATAAAATTAAATAAATTAAAATAAATAAATAAATATAACAAACTAGTGAGTATAACAAAAAAGAAACAGACTCACAGATATAGAGAACAAACTAGTGGTTACCAGTGGGGAGAAAGAAGGGAGGAGGGGCAAGATGGCGTAGGGGATTAAGAGGTACAAACTATTATGTACAAAATAAATAAGCTACAAGGATATATTATACAACACAGGGAATATAGCCAATATTCTATAATAACTATAAATGGAGTATAACCTTTAAAAATTGTGGATCACTATATTGTACATGTGTAACATATAATATTGCACATAAATTATAGCTCAATTAAAAAAAAAAAGGAGCCTGGTCAGCGTGGTGGTGTGCTGAGGTGCCCAGGCGCTGAACTCATGAAGAGCTGGATTTCCAAAGCCCACCACATGCCAGGCATTACACCTCATACACTTTGACACTCATTATGGCTGCCCCGTGACAAGGTAGGCATTACTATCTCCATTTTACAAATGAAGGGACCAAGACATGGAGGCCAAGTGACTTGCCCAAGGCAAAACCACAGAAAAAAGCAGAACCAGAATTCAAACTAGACAGTCAAATGCAGCACCACCACTTCCCATGCCGTGCAAAATGGTTGTCTCAGGATATGAGTGCTCCTTCCCATGTTTAGACCTTTAGAAGGGCTTCCAAAAGAATCTTTTATCATGAAATGTCTAGATTTTAAACAAATACTCCAATATAAATATTTCAATGGTCAACTCAATTCAAATTAATAACAGTTGCTTTCTTTGGGATGGAAAGTAATGTAGAGGCAGCAGGATGGGAAGGGGAAGAGGAAAGGTTAAATGAACTAAGATTCTGAGCCTAGAAAGAAAAAGGATAAGAAATGATCTAATTCTTGCTCTGGAACTAAATTAAACAGGAATCTGACTGATCCTGATTACTATGTCCTGAAAATCAGAACAGAATCATCAGGGAGTGTAAAAGTATTTTTTTTTTCATAGAATTCTTAAAGATAATGACAGGTACACACCCTACTTACTGCCAATGTTGAATTCATCTTCATTAAGGCCCACATTTTCTTAGTACCTGCGTGCTCTTTAAAAATATATGTTTGGGTTTCTTAATATTAACAACAACAATAATAATAGCACCAGAATACTGTAACAGCAATTTACTGAGCACCAATGTACAAACACTATGATGTGTCCCTGCACTGTTCCCTGAGTTAAACCTACTCCATGAAGCAAGCATTTCGATCCCCATTTTGTAGCTGATTCTGGAACTCAGAGGGGTTAAGAAACATGACCTGAGTCACACAACCAGTAAGTGGCAAAGCTTTGAATATGTGGACCTACAGGCCTGGATTAGGCAATAAACAGGGAGGAGATGGGCTTTACAACCAGAGATGGTCACTAACTATGTCAAAGAATTATCATTAAACTTAAAAAACAGACTTTTCGGCAATTCGGTCAGGGAAACTTACAGAAAAGTTGTTACCTAAATCCAGAGTATACTTCATAAGAGGAACACTAAAGTCCCTATGACACACAACAGGCCCACATGGCTATTTTCTGAAGTTTTAAAAGAACAAAACAAAAAAACAATTCTACCCTCTCCCTAGTGAACCAAGTGCTTCCTGCCTCTAAATGGATTTGGATGGAGATCAGAAAGGGACTCAGACAAAAAGGCCTCCAGGAAACAGCTCCTTGTCCTGGTTCCACCAGGGAGGCTGTCCTTTGAAGTCTCTCCCAACAGTTTTGCTTAGATAAGACGTTTTTCTCCCTGAGACAATGAGTGATTCCTCAGAGATCTGCCTTTGAAAGACAGAGAAACAAACTATCACATATAGGTATAGGTCAGGAGTTTTTTGTTTGTTCAATGTTAGTTTGTTTTAAACTGTGCTTCTTACCTGGATCCGTATCAGAAGAGCAAGGAATAGAAAGGGCTTCCTCAGAACTAAAAGCCTCACTGTTGGCCTCCTGGCTGGGTCTCTGCAACACGTAATCCCTTATGTCATAAGCTGATGGCAGGTCCAAAGCATTGCTCTCCTCTGATTGGCTTCCTGGAGTGGCTTCCTGATTTGCCATAGTCCTGCCATGGAAAAAATAAAACAATTCAATACAGAAGGCATTGCATAAGAGGAGCCTCCATTACAGCCATGGCTTAAAGACCTTAAAGGCCAAAAAACAGTAGAACCAAAATAATTTACTTTCCTGTTATTAACTGTCTTCCTTGTTTTTGCTTTACTTTTCTGTTATTAATGGGCTTCCTTGTCTTTGCTTTAGACCCAGTATTTGTTTACCATGTTTCTTCATCATGAGAAACAAATAACTCTCAGCACAGAAAGAAACCATGAATCATTTCAGCTGGAAAATGAACTGCATGTCTGATAAGGATGAAATACTGTGCAGCATTATAATCCAAGGACTACACAAATATTTAATGAGATGGGAAACTGTCCGTGATATATTAAATGGAAAAAGATTTAGAAACTATAGGTAGGGTTTGATCCATATTTTATAAAATATCGTGTGTGGTATGTGTGTGTATGAAATATACAGACCTATAGCTAGAAAAAAAAGTCTAGAAGGGTATATCCCAAATTAATTCCAGTGATAATTAACTCAGTGGTTTAATTTCTGGGTAGTGAAATTACAGGTGATTTGCATCTTCTTATGTGGACTTCAGACAACTGTTAACATGCCAGGCCCCAGGGATGCAAAGATGAATGTGATAGACACTTCCTTTGAGTTGCTCAGGTTGGGATGACCCAAACACAGAGACAGACAGTGCTAACACCATGATAAGATGAAGAGGCGCCCAGAGAGGGGCAGTAGGCTTTCTGGAGGAGGCGGTGCCCAAGTGTGGGGCAGGCCATGGCCAGGGGACAGTATGAACCCCAGAGGAACCAGCTTGGGCAACCACAAGTGGCAAGAGGTGTTGAGAGTTTTGGACATTTCTTGTTAAAAATTAGGCGTCCCTTATCCCTCCTGGTTGATGTCTACCTGTGGGCTGGAGGGCTCTTTGCAGTACATCCAGCCCTGCCCACCTCTCTGTAAAATAATTATGGGCCTGGAGAGATTCTGGACCCTCTGCTACTCTCTGCCTCTTAAGTTATCATCAGTAAATCTTACTATGGTCAACACCACACCCTGTGACTACCACAGGCCACCATGTACCATGCAGAGGAGACACATGGTCAGATCTGCAGATTTGGCAGCTGGACAGCAGGCAATCTCAGGAGTGACAGGAATTCAGACAACTGTTGTGTTCCCAGTAAGAGAGGAAGAGCATGTGAATGAGGGCAGGGCACTAGCAGCCAAGAGCAGGGGGCAGACTAAGAAGATATTTAGGAAGAGAAATAAGAGTCGAACTTAGTAACGGAATGGATAAAAGGGCTAAAGAGGAAGCAGAAGTCAACAAAGAGTGGTAGCTTCAGTGACAGGGTTGTATTAGCAACTGAGTGAGAGCAGACAGGAGAAGGATAGGTTTGGGAGGAGGCAGTATTCCAAATTATGGGATATTATCCAGCTGTTAAAATGACAGAACTTGAAAGATCTGTCTGAATGACAGAAGCAATTTCAGAATAACATGAATAGTATAATAATACGAGTAGTTAACATTTATTGTTTTTTGGTTGCCAGGCATTGTGCCAAGAGCTTCATCTGCAACAGCCCTATGAAGCAGGTAATCTTATTATTACCCTCATTTACAGTCAGATAGTCGGCCCCAAACACAGGAGAAGTAGAGTAACCAGCCCTAGGAAACCCGTCCAGAAAGTACCAACCTAGGATGAACCCAGCTCCAGAGCCTCCCGACTGCAGCCCAAACTACCACCTGATCAAGCAAAGATAGGAGGTATAAAAACAAATCAACAGAGAGACCTGGCAAGACACCTCTCATTTGAGGACACCCAGTCACATGCTGTTGTGGACATTCGCTCAGGCAGACAGTGAGCCAAGACATCAGCTGATTGCTTCTGGAAGGAGTGAGGTGATCAAGATTCCCAAAGAAGCAAGAACATCCTGTCTTTGCACACTGCTATATTAGCCAACCAAGCCCGAAGTTTCAGCAAACACCTCTGCTGCAGGCATCTGTGGCTCCTCCTTCTGCCCTCATCTTACCAAACACTGCTCTGGAGGTTTCTGGAAGGGAACAAACAGGTTAATAAATGACAAACATGTATCCTGCTTGCCTGCAAAGTTGCATTAAAATCAGCCAGCAACAGAAGTCGTTATTAATGACATGGAACAAAAGGAATCCTTTATGAAAACAAATAGCACCTTGATGTGATATCTATCTTTTCTTTTATAATCACTTATATTAAATGTCAAATACATCCCAAACTGGTTATTTGAACAAAAAATGAAAAAAACAATCTACTGAAAGGCAGAATCCTGTTTATTACAAAATAAGTACCTGTGCATGTAAAACTTTATTTGGGATTCAATGAATTTGTACAGGAGAAATCAAATAATAGGGACAGGTGAGACCCTTCTAATGATCTGAAACTACCTAGGCTGGCCAAGTAGAATGCAATGATTATCCTTTGCCCCAAAACTTTTGATATGTGGTTCAATTTCCTTCTCTAGAAGTGCTTATTTTCTTCTCTTAAAGGTGCTTTAATTACACAATCTAAATATTATTTTCCAATACTTGGGAGTATAGGATGCCTTGTGACTGCAGGCACAAGAAGTTTCTCAGTACATAAATACCTGCTTACCAAGAGAAAGCAGCCATTGCTCTACAGATTCTTACAAATCTACAAAAACAACTCCATCAGGGTCCATGTATAAGAAGCAGTTTAATTTCATTTACTTTTTTCTTTTTCTTTTTGTTTGGCCGCACCATTTGGCTTGCGGGATCTTAGTTCCCCAACCAGGGACTGAACCCAGGCCATAGCAGTGAAGTGCCAAGTCCTAACCACTAGACTTCCAGGGAACTATGTACTTTTTTATTTTTCCAATTAAGGCTCTTTCCTCCCAATATTTTACATGAAAAATTTCAAACAAAGGATAGTGGAAAGAATACAATGACCATCCATATAGCTACTGCCTAGATTTCTTTATTCTTACTCAATTTACTTAAACACCAAAACAAAACCAAAAACAGTTCACCCATTTCTTCCACCACTCTCCCCCCGCCACTTCTGACAACCACCAATCTACTTTCTGTATCTATAAGCTTAATATAAAGTATTTGTATTTCTCTGACTCATTTCACTTATAATGGTCTCAGGGCCATTCATGTTGTTGCAAATAGCAAGATTTCATTCTTTTTTATGGCTGAATAATATTACATTGTAAGTATATATCACATCTTCCTTATTCACTCATCCATCAATGGACCCTTAGGTTGTTTTTCTATCTTGGCTATTATAAATAATGCTGCAATGAAAATGGGGGTGCATGTATCTTTTCTAATTAGTGTTCTTGTTTTCTTTGGATAAATACTCAAAATTGGTATTCCTGGATCATATGGTAGTTCTATTTTTAACTTTTTGAGGAACCTCCACACTTTTCTATGGTGGCACCAATTTACATTGCCATGAGGTTTCCATTTTCTCTACATCTATGCCAACACTTGTTATTTCTAGTCTCTATTTATTTATTGGCCACACCCTGCGGCCTGTGGGGTCCTAGTTCCCTGACCAGGGATCGAACCTGCACCACAGCATTGGAAGCGCAGAGTCTTAACCACTGGACCACCAGTCTTTTTAATTTTTTTTTGTGTGGTACACGGGCCTCTCACTGCTGTGGCCTCTCCCATTGCGGAGCACAGGCTCCAGACGCACAGGCTCAGCGGCCATGGCTCACGGGCCTAGCCGCTCCGCAGCATGTGGGATCTTCCCGGACTGGGGCATGAACCCATGTCCCCTGCATTGGCAGGCGGACTCTCAACCACTGCGCCACCAGGGAAGCCCAGGACCACCAGTCTTTTTGATATTAGCCATTCTGACAGGTGTGAGGTGATATCTCACTGTGGTTCTGATTTGCATTTCCCTGATGATTAATGATGTAGAGCATCTTTTCATGTACCTGTTGGCCATCCATATTTCTTCTTGGGAAAAAATGGCTATTCATATCTTCTACCCATTTTTTAATTGGATTGGTTGTTTTTTTTGCTATTGAGTTGTATGGGTTCTTTATATATTTTAGATATTAGCCCCTTATCAGATATATGATTTGCAAATACTTTCTCCCATTCAGTAGGTTGCCTTTTCATTTGTTGGTGGTTTCCTTTGCTGTGCAAAAGATTTTTAGTTTAATATAGTCCCACCTGTTTATTTTTGCTTTTGTTGCTTTTGGTTTTGGTGTCAGATTCAAAAAATCATCATCAAGACCTATGTCAAAGGGACTTCCCTGGTGGCGCAGTGGTTAAGAATCTACCTGCCAATACAGGGGACACGGGTTCGAGCCCTGGTCTGGGACGATCCCATGTGCCGCAGAGCAACTAAGCCCCGTGTGCCACAACTACTGAGCCTGCACTCTAGAGCCTGCGAGCCCCAACTCCTGAAGCCCCTGCACCTAGAACCCGTGCTCCACAACAAGAGAAGCCACTGTAATGAGAAGCTGGCGCACTGCAACGAAGAGTAGCCCCCACTCACCACAACTAGAGAAAGCCTGCAAGAAACAACGAAGACCCAATGCAGCCAAAAATAAATAAATAAATAATTTTTTAAAAAAGATGTATGTCAAGGACTTTACCACCTCTATTTTCTTCTAGGATTTTTACAGTTTTAGGTCTCAAGCTCAAGTCTTTAATCCATTTTGAGTTAATTTTTGTGTATGGTGGTCCAATTTCATTCTTTTACATGTGCTGTCAATTTTCTTAGCACTATTCATTGAAGAAACTGTCCTTTCACCATTGGACATTCTTGTCTCCTTTCTCATAAATTAATTGATACATGCATAGGTTTATTTCTGAGCTCTCTATTCTGTTCCACTGATTTATGTGTCTGCTTTTATGCCACCATACTGTTTTAATTATTATAGCTTTGTAATATAGTTTGAAATAAGGGCGCATGATGCCTGCAGCTTTGTTCTTTCTCAAGATTGCTGTGGCTATTCAGAATCTTTCATAGTTCAAAAATTTTTGTATTTTTTTTGTTTGTTTTATTACTGTGAAAAATGTCATTGGGATTTTGATCGGTATTGCACTGAATCTGTATATTGTTTGGGGTAGCATGGACATTGTAATATTAATTCTTCCAATCCATGAGCACAGAATATCTTTCCATTTATTTGTGTCTTCTTCAATTTCTTTCATTAATGTCTTGTAGTTTTCACTGCACAGGTCTTTCATCTTCTTGGTTAAATTTATTCCTAGGTAAAAACAAAAATCTTTTAAAAAGAAAAAGAAAAAACTTATTCCTAGGTATTTTATTTTATTTTATTTATTTTATTTTTTTTGCAGTACACGGGCCTCTCACTGCTGTGGCCTCTCCCGTTGCGGAGCACAGGCTCCAGATGCGCAGGCTCAGCAGCCACGGCTCACGGGCCCAGCCGCTCTGCGGCATGTGGGATCCTCCAGGACCGGGGCACGAACCCACATCCCCTGCATCAGCAGGTGGACTCTCAACCACTGCACCACCAGGGAAGCCCTATTTTATTATTTTTGATGCAATTGGAAATGGGACTGTATTCTTAATTTCTCTCTCTGATAGTTCATTATGCAACCGACTTTTGTGTGTTGATTTTGTATCTTGCCACTTTGCTGAATTTGTTTATTAGTTCTAACAGTTTGTTGATGGAGTCTTTACGGTTTTCCATATATAATATCATGTCATCTTCAAACAGTGACAGTTTTACTTCTTCCTTTCCAATAGAGATGCCTTTTACTTCTTTTTCTTGCCTAACTGCTCTGGCTAGAACTTCCAGTACTATGTTAAATAGAAGTGGCAAAAGTAGGCATCACTCTCTTGTTCCTAATCTTAGCTGTGGGCTTGTCACATATGGCCTTTTCCTAGATTTCATAATTAACATTTTACTATGATTTTCTTTATCAGATAACCAGCTATCTCTTTATTCATCCATCAATTCACTTATTTTTATACATATTTCCATTTAAAAACTGATATAATGAAAGCTTCTGAGGGGATGTGTATGATAATCAATGTGCATCTTCAAAGGCTCACTCTGTCAGCTGAGTGAAACACAAATGAGAGAACGGTAAACGTGAAGTAAGGAACACAGCTAAGAAGCTCTGCAAAAATGTCCAGAGATGTGCAAGGGCTCTGGAGTTGGAGAGACTGCTCTCACTTTTTAGCTGTCACCTTGGGCAAGTCACTTAAACTCAATTCCCTCATCTATAAAAATGGCTTGATTACTATGCTTACCTCATAGGGTTGTCATAAGGATTACATAAAATTAATGCATGTAAAATACTTAGTACAGTCTCTGTGCTCATGATGGCTAGCTCCAATAAGTAAAACAGTAATAATTAAAAAACAAATCACAGGTTCCTCTCTTCCCAGCCAACCACCAGCCTATTTGCCCCTCTACTTCCCATCCTATAGCCATGTTGCTTCTTTCATTCTTTTCCAGTAGATTCTATGGTTCACAGCCTTGTTAATACCCTGAACTTCCCTGCCCTGCCCATTCTGTCTTTTCATCACACTCCTTTGGCAAAATTCAGCCTAGACAACCTCAACTATCTCCCTATTTTCTGTATGCTGGACATGAGAGTCATCAAACAGGTCAGGGCAGACTGGCACTCTCTAAGTGTCTGAGCACACACCTGGAATGGGCTATCTGGCTAAATGGATCCTGAGATGTTTATCTCATAACTTCCTCTCAAACCCCTCCTCAACTCTTTCATATTTTCTCCACTCTTCTTCAACTCAGACCCTCTCCATCACTCACATACCTTCCTCCTCTTTTCAGCATATCATCTCACTTCCTAATTGACAAGGGAAACAGAAGCCAGCAGAGAGGA